CCAAAACAAACAAACAAACAAACTTATCCCTTGTGGTAAACTGAAAGAGCGAATGAAATTCATCCTACATAACTTTCAGAAAAGTATTTACAAGGACCGAGACTCTGTTTTTATATACAGAAACAATTTGTAATTTAAATAACGTAGTTAATGTTTCTTAAGTTTTTCATGGTATACAATGTGAAAATCTGGGATTCGATTCCTCTCAATGGGTAGTGTACAGATAGCCCATTGTGAAGTTTTGTGTACCCAAGCAATCTGTGCTAATTGTAGAAAATTCTCAAAAACACAATATTCTGTACACTTTAGGTTTATTTGAAAAGTCTCATGCTCCCTGGTTGCTCCGCGATAACTCAGACTGCTTATTACGCTAAAAAATCAAGTTTCGACGCCAGCGGTTAGCACAGCCTATTGTGTTGATTTATGCCTTACAACAAACAAACAAAACATAAAAAATCTTACACATCTAAGATAATAATAATTCCTGATTATGTTTGAGAATTTAAAGGTAGGCTTAAATGTATTAATAACACTCTCTATATTGTTTATGTATAAAATATAAATTAATTACAACTTTTAATATTCTTGTATATAAGATGAGCATAAGAGTATATATTTTAATGTAAAGACTTGCTTTTAACCATAAAAACGTGCATTCATTTCGTCAGCTGAATATCTTTTGAATACAGTCGATCGTAATCCTATGGAAAAAATAAAACGCTGCATCGCTAACCACTATGTTAGAAAAGTGAAACTATTTAAACTAAAAATTACTCTTACGCTATCATAAGCCCCCTAGTGGCTCAGCGGTAACTCTGCAGGCTTACGACGCAAAAAAAAATCAGGTTTCGATACACGTGATGGGCAGAGTACAGATAGCTTATTGTGTAGCTTTGTGCTTAACATACACCAAACAACCCTGTCAAAATTTACTTTTGCGTCCTCTTGCCATCCATTCTCACCATTAAGTATGAAATAAAGATTAAGCATAAATACAATCAATAACTTTGACAATCTTAAATACTTCAGGTTCCTTCTAATCTTTTTTTTTTTCAAGAGGAAGTAATTTCATATATCGTATCCTATCTTCGTATGACAACCTTTCCATCCCAAACATCATCTTAGTATCCCTCCTTTGGACCCTGCCGAACATATTCAGTATCCTTCCTAAGGTAAAGAGCCAAAAAACACAATACTCCAAATGAGGCCTAATCAGTGACCTGTACAATACAATTATAACCTCGTTAGATTTGTATCCAACATTTCTGTAAATAGGCCTAAAATCCTATTTGTCCAACCAATAACAATAACACATTTCTTGGATGGCTTAAGATGGGAACCACGAAACGATGGGTAACATTTTAACCAATATATATATATATGGTTCGTGTGAATTCCCAACCATTTGATAGTGCAGTGCCCTATGGATAAACTTAAGGGTTTAGGAATATATCACAGATGATAGACACAACATTTTGAAGAAGAAGCCTTCACTGTTTACCATGATGGCGGAAAAACGCACACAGCAAAGTGCTTAAGATCAGCGACAGGCCTTGCAGTTATGCCCCAAGCCAATCCAGATATTTTAAAATTGATGTAATTTTACGGTAATTCACTGTAAAGTATTATAGTTAATTGTTGAAATACTGTGAGACCATGAATCGCACTGTATCACGGTCTTAAAGTGGCAAAGTGTCAGCCATTTTCAAGGTTTATTGTTTATTGCAGCAGTTAATTTATTAGAATTCCCTGTGATTTTCGTTGCGTTTTCCGATTTGATTAAGTATTGGTTTGTTTGGAAGTTCGCGCAAAGCTACTCCAAAGCTATCTACGCTAACTATCTTTAATTCAACAGTAATTCAACACCGCCCATCGCCAATTCTTGGGCAACTCTTTTATCAGAAATAATAAGATTGATCGCACATTACAACGCCCCTATGGCTGAAAAGCTCAAAACAACATAACGGGCTACCCGTACTTTGCCAACCACGGTTATCTAAACCCGAATTATAGCACCGTAAGCACTCAGACTTACACTGAGCCACTAGGATGCTGCTTAAATGTGTGCACTTAAGTTAAGAAACAGTCTTACAGAATAAAAAAGTCAGTAGCAAATGCCTAGATGATGTAAGATTACGTTTGACAATAAAACTCAGTCTGTAAGTTTTTACTTATACAGAGGTTGATATAAAACTAGTAGCAATAAATTTTATTTTGAGACTGATGGTATGCAGGGATGGAAAAAGAAGAGAAACTAGAAAACATTTGGGATGGGAGGAACATCTCCATTACTCATTTCCTGCATTCCACCACCTAACGTTTTTATTTGCATCCATCCTGTGAATGCAGTGTGTGAATGGTGGAAGATAGGAATGGGTATTACAGATTTTTCTCCCATCCCAAATGCTCTCTAGTTTCTGATATGTTTCCATCCCTACATCCCAACATTTTAGCATAAAATTTTTGTTACTAGTTTCTGCACATTTTACGAGTCGAAGTCTTGGCTTCCAGTGGGGCTGTAACTTCTAGGTGAATGACACTATTTCACCAGCTTATTCAGTTTTATTCTGTATGGCACCATAATACAATCTATGGACGTTACTTATTGAAGCAAGATAAGTCACTACGAGGATACTGATAGTAAAATCAATTAAATTAGATCCAAAGGTAAAGGTATTAGAGACGATGTAGTTCAATTCAAAACTGGTGTTTCTTGCTTCTTTTCTTTCACTTCTTTTTTTACAGAATCAAAGACTTTCGGGATAGTGTTTGACAACTTTTTTTACAGTTGAAAATAAATCACAGATTATTTGTTCTCCCAAGATTGATCATTGAACATTGCATATCAGAAGTCAATAACTAGAGACTATCTTGATTTTAGAAATAACTAGTTTCTAAAC